GAAGTCACTATAGCATTATAATGTTGTGTAAATAAAAGATTATCCACTATACGACTTAAGTGCAAACATTCACTCTAACTTTGATGAACTGACTTCCTGTGAGCCATTATGTGGGGCTGTAACACCAACAAACGACCCTCCACTCTACAATCCATCCATCATTTCTAGCATAAATTACTCCTTTATATCTGTGCTTCAACAGGTAATCAATGCAAGAAGATACAGGGACAGACTGGGACAACATTCTACCACTGATTTCCCTGTGCACGCATTTTCACCTCACTAGCAAAGCAGTGGAGAGAGGCAGTCTGTCTCAGGTGAAGTGTCATTAAGGTTGGTAACCATTTTTCATAATCCAGTGGAGCTCCAGAGATCAATACTTAGGCAGGGGGGTGTGGGGTTAGATTTGTGTGTGTGTGAAGATGGAGTGGATGCTGTTAGCGGCTCTCTAATGCAATTTAATGCAAGCTGACCACAGTAATGACCAGGAGAAAGGGAAGCCAAACGTTCCTAAAAATCACTGGGCTATTTTATCCATCCACTATGAATTGAAGAGGAAAAGACACTTGATTTAGTCCTCCACTACTACTATTGCTTTTAATCCATTTACAACATTATACAGGCTGAATTCCTTTGGTTAAGGTGATATATGTGGTATTTCTAGGTATATTACTTTACAATCCACTGTGAAAACCATGAAGTAATTACCATAAGTAAAGCAGACCATGGTGCATTATTTCAGACACTTCTCTGTGAAAAATACAATTAGGAACCTGTTTTTCTTTCTGTTCTCTGTTTCCCTTTTATGTAATTCCCTGGTGCAATCCTGCCTTTGAACAAAAACCAGCACGAGACCGAAATCTTGACTCAAGATCGGCTAGCTACGTTGTGACTTTCATTTGCATCTCTTAGTTTTTGTGGAGATTGCTCAGTTGTCATGATGATCCAGATTATGAATTTGAATACAAAAGTTTTCAAATCTATATGAAATTGTTTGCCTGCCAGACAGCTTTCAAGGTAGACACGATATATGTAAGGTTTCAAATGTCTTGGACAACAGCATGTTCTTGATAAAAATAATCCTTATGACTGAAAGCACAAGAGTCTATACACATATCATACAGGATTATATTTACCAGCAGAACATTTTACATAGTCCTAGTATCCCATAGAACAGTGGGCGAAAGGTTAATAGAGATTTCATTTCCCATGAACACCCCTGCCTCTATGTATTCCTTCATATTCAGTTTTTCTCCTTTGTCCATAATCATCTCATAAAGGCGTACTGGCAACAGCAGCAAACTCTGTTTGTGCATAAGGTTTTCTGTTAATGAAGTACAAGTGAAGACAAGTGAATTAAATAAAGATACTTGTCTGTTATAACATATGTGATGATTAAACGTCCAGTGTGTAACATTTAAGAGCATCTATTGTCAGTTTGTTTTATATGTAAGTGTTGAAACATTTCACTCAAAACAGTTGGTGACGTTGCTCATATGTGACTCAGATCAGATATGATACTTGCAAAAAGTACTTGGCAGGTAGGGCTGCAACAAACGATTATTTTCATTATTAATCTGCTGATTATTTTCACAATTGTTTAGAAAAACCATAATTTCCCAGAGCCCAAAGTGATGCCTTCAGACTGCTTTTTTTGTCCAACCAACAGTCCCAAAACCAAAGATTCTTAATTTACTGTCCTAAATGATAAAAATAAATGAATAAATAGCAGATCCTTACATATACAAGGCTGGAAGCAGCAAATCTTTGACAGTTTTGCTTGAAAAATGTCAATTAAGCAGGTTGTTTTTCTATTGGTCAAGTAATCGGTTAATCGACTAATCATTGCAGATCTATTAGCAGGTTATTGGATGAACCCTCTGTCTATCACCGTCCATCATAATGTAGACAAATTAAATTACATTTTAGCATTTAGTTTGAATTTATGTTACAGCATAAGGCACAATATGATATTATTAATCTTTTACAAATCCTTTAAAAGTCTCACTGTAGCTTCATGCTTCTTCCTTGGTGGGCTTGAGTTTCCTTCTTTCTGCTGCAGCTTTTGGTTTGTAGAGAACCAGACTGGAACACAGCACAATCATTACTGACAAACACCACAGACCACAGCAGGATGAACACACCTGGCTGCTTGAACCATTTCACTTGTGATTTGCAGATGGGGGGAGTAAATCTTTTCAGCTGACTTACTCCTATGGATTGCATTACCTTTCCCCATCTTTACTGCATAAGCTGAATACCATCCATCATTTCATAGATCCAGCTGACCCTTCTGAAATATCTGAAGGTGTCAGAATGCACTAATATGTGATTGTCTTAACTGACTGTTGGTGGAAATATATATTTACCACAAGGGCCTGTTTTTAACTGGTAAACTTTACTGTTGACTTGGCTCGTTTTAGTAGAAACATTTATTGATCGTTCAGCTCTATAATCATACAACTATGATCTTACTTTTGCAGTTTTTATTTCTGTCACTTATAATAACATTGTACTCACCAGTAATAACTGCCAGATTGATGTCAGAAAATGGTGACATAACTGAAAGAGAAAAGTTCCCACACAAGCAGACAATCAGACTGTTGTACTTTAGCTGGAAGTTGAAGCACAAAGTGGGTCTGTAAACTGTGATTGATGTTTAAATTAAACAGTTTTGGTGATGCTTTTACTGTCCATCTTCATTTTTCTCTTTTAAATAAGTTCGACAAACCTAGAGTTTTCTTTACAACCTGGCTGATCATCTGACTGCTCGTGTTCCTTGGCTTGTCTTAACTTCTTTTCACATCTCATTGAGTGCAACTTTATCATTACTGATTAAAAGGTGGGCCAAAACTACCAAAATAAGACCCAAGTTGTAATAAATGCAAGAATTATGCTTTAAGATTTGGCTCACTGACAATGTAAAGATGTGCTTCTAAAGGGAAACTAAAGTATGTTTTCAGTCATCTCTGCTGTCTGTTATTCCTGCTTTATTAGAAAGATCTGATGTCTGCGGCGCTGGCATGAAATATGGATCTGTGTCCATCAGTCAGATTAAAAACTGTCCAACACAGTTTATACAGAAAAAATAAGTAATACCTTTGATCATTTTGTCTCTAATGTACTTTTACCAGGGAAATACAGTGTCCTTTCTTTTAACGGATTCATCATTTAAACAGCTGCTGTATTTCTGAAGATAAATTTTCAGCTCTAATTAGAGAGGATAAAACAAAAGAGGGATATCTTTTTACAGTAGACCTAAAGTTACTATACAGCTTATGATCGTCAAAGTCAGTGCTGGACAATGCAAGCTATGTAGCTGATAATTCAATAAGACTGTTCTATCATAATTAAAAAGTCAGTTTAGTAGAATATTTTTTTAAATGTGCATAAATGTAGAAACATTTTCACTTATACCTACTGGTGTATTTCTATTAAAACTCACCATGTCACTGTTAACAATTTGCATTGGAACCTTTTCACCGAACAATGGCTGTGTAGATTATCCAGATTAACAGGGACAGAAAAGTGTGAAAATCATTTTTCAGGTTCAGAACAATTCAATTAAATTCCTTTCAACTCCATTGTACTGGGTGGTGGTACAAATCAAAAAGAACTAAAAACATGGACAAATAAAACCAAAATGTGATACAATTGTTGGCCTCCACACTGCATTTTAAATTTGGTAATATTCATTTAAATCAACTAATTAAATAATGTATAATTCAATCAAATATGCAAATTGTGTAATTTTATACATTTAATAATACATTTAATAATTTATATATATATTATATATAATTTTTTTATTGTTTTAACTCTCATTTTATAGCCAGTTTCCCAGATATTTTTGACAATTGATGAAAATCGAATCAGTTTACATAACAGAACAGAACATATGTTTGGTGATTTGGGTGAAATTACCATTTGAGTGGAGTAAACGCACAGTATGAATGCCTCTTTAACAACTCGTAACTTAAAGTGTGGCCCATTTTTTACAAGTTGTGCTTTTGTCTGTACTCTACTCCTTGCACTTTGGAGGCGAGTAACTGAAACTAGATTTTGGGCACTGCTCAAGAGATGATACTGAATCCAAATACAACAAACAATAGCTGGTTTGCAACACAGCAACAATTATGTCATATATGTCAGTCTGACGTACTCTCTTTTTGCTCCACTATTTTGACCTCACACTGTGAGTTAATTTAAGGATACTGACGTTTCTGGTTTAAACATCAACACATGTAAATGGCCTTTCTGTGTGGAGTTTGAATGTTCTCCCTGTGTGGGTTTTCTCTGGGTGAACCAGTTCCCCCCACCATCAAAACATGTATGTTATACTGTTAGCTGAAGTGTTAGCACTTGCACTTCTGATTATTATCCACATGAGTACCCTTACTTCTTATTGCCACCTCTGGTAAGCATGGGTGTGCCCACCACAGAGGTCACTGAGGTTTGGACCTTGGTATTTTTTCCAAGGGGTAAACAATAAAAGTCGTAAAATGATAAATGATGGCTAGATTAAGACTAAGAAAACAGCGCTGAAAGTTAAAATTGATTAAAAATGGGAAAATGATTAGGGTTAGGATTATGTTGTGTTTAGGGTTAGGTTTGTGTTGAATTATGGTACTGGCACCTATTTCCAATTCAGGCACTGGTTCTAAGCAATAACAGATGTGAAATTTCACCTTATCAACTTACAGGTCATTAAATTATACTAATAATTTCTCAATTTCTAATATACCACATATTCAGACCATTGTGTGACTGCTTTAGTAAGTGCATGCTCCCAGCTGCAAACAGCCCAGCAGTGAGGCTGCTTTACTATGGTTTTGTGTTAAGTAGACTTTAAGTGCAATCTCTTTTGACTTTTGAGCGTACAGTCCTCAAAGGACCCCTCCCTCTCCAAACAGAACTCTGCTACTCCCACTGTGCTCTTTTACATGCAAACAATTCATGTTAGTGATCATTCCGGGACAGATCACAAGGAATAAGTTCTCTTTTGGAGATATGTATTTAATTAAATGTGTAATGAGGTAAATAAATATTCAAGAGCAAGAGGTTTCCTCAACAACAATTCAATTGAATGTATATACAGTACACCGTTTGTGCAAAAACATGGATTCAAAAGACATTGTAAGCTGATAACTTCAAGGCACATACATATACTGTTTTACCATAACATTATTTTTGCTGAACAAAAGGGAAAGAGTCGGTTCTCAGTGGGTTAAACATACAGTAGACGGCAGATGTGCTTTTTGGCTGCTCACTGTGTGACACCCACCATAAAACACAGCTAGCACTAATAACATGACCCCTTAACTTTAATAATGTATTAATCTTGAAAAACAGGTGAAAGCACTGCAGCCTGCCACTTTCTGTGAATGTTTAATGAGTATGACCTTTACATTTTCTTTTCAAGCTGAGAAAAGTTTGATTTGAATAAGAATATTTACTGTAGTGGCAATTAAAGAAATGTGCGATATTATTGTGATGACTTGATTTAGAACAGCCACAGGAAAAGTGTGGTGGACTATCGTTTCCAGAAAATGATGCCATCTAGTGGTGAGTGTGGAAGATTTGTGCCTGTTTTTCCTCCTCTCATACAGAATTCTACCAGCTGGATTCAGGACTCTTAGAATGCACTACAGCTACAGTGTTAATTCTGTATCTGTTATGGTTACAGTATACAATGACTTCAAAATTTACTATTACTGAAAATCAAAACCCCTTAATACTTAGATAATAAATGAATCCTGATTGTACATGTCTGTGTGCATGGAACTCAAACAGCACAACTCCAGAAAGCAATAACTTATAAATCCAACGTTATATAAAAGATATCGTCCAGTTAGTTGTATAAATTACATTTCTTGAAGATGTGGGGGTTTCAAATAATATTAACACTGTACAGTGTCCAGTAAAGTGTGGGCGGTTGTCAGTAAAAATGCCCTCCAAAATCATCATGTGTGACAAAAGTCTGCATCCTGAACATTGTTCTTGCAGTAGACTGTGCTGTTGTTCCCCAGGGGGCAGTCTCGGAATCCAATGCCCCCATTAGGGGTGTAAATAGGCTGAATGTGGAAATCTCCCTTGAGGAGCTGTTCGTTGTTGAGTGAGACTATCTGGAAGCTGGTCTCAGTCATTTCCAGGATAGAGTTATCTTTCTTGGTGCCTGCCTCACAGTAGTTGTCTTTTCTCCGACCCCGATTGTATTTCCACTTGGTGGAGGACTTGGAGCGGCTCTTCTTATGCATGTGCCAGCAGAAGATGCTGAGGAGGACCACCAGCACCAGGATCACAGCCCCACCAATCAGCCCAGCCAGCAAGAAAGGTGAGCTGGGTTCCTGTTGCGTTGCCTGCTCAGGCCCCGACGGTCTTTTGTTGTTGTCAGGGCTGAAAGATGCCGGCATGGTCATGGCCTCGGTGCACACAGTATCATCTTTGGGCCGGTAATTATTGAATGCATCCAAGGGAATGACACAGATCCGATAGGTGGACTTTGGCTCAAGATTAGCCAGTCTGATCCCCCGGTGATCCCCACCCACTATCCTCTCCCTGACGGTGTCCCCTGTCAGACTGGGGCCCATCCTAGCCCAGGTCACCTTGTAGGCAGTGACTGGAAAGGCGGCCACCCATCTGACATGGATAGCGGAGCCATTCAGTATGGAAAATGTGACCTGCAAAGTCTCCCTCCGGGTGTCCAGAGGTTGCTTAGTCCTCAACCCCCCCTCTCTGGTTGAATACAGGGTGGGCAATGTGGGGAAGGGTCGCCTGGAGGAGGAGGGAACATACTGAGTGACCAGGGGGGAGTCTGTAGAAGATGATAAGGATGGGATCAGAGCAGTGTCAACTGGTGAGGTGAGAAGGAGCGCCGTCGCTGTGCTCTGTGGGCACTGGACCAACTCAGCACTCAGCTCCCTGATCACCATGCCCCGGAACTTCTCTGGTTTATGGCACATGAAGCCGCGCACATTGAGCGAGGCCGGCAGAGATTTAAGCCATGACACCACCCATTTGATGCTGCAGTCACACAGCCAAAGGTTATTCCGAACAGTGAGCTGTCTGAGACTGACGAGGCCATCAAAGACCCCCTGTGTCAACGACTGCAGCTGGTTGTTAGAAATATCCAGCCTCTCCAGCTTGTGCAACCCCGCGAATGCCCTGACAGGGATCTGGTCTATCTGATTTTCCTGAAAGTTTAATTTGACAAGCACCTCTCCTGGGAGGAATGGGGGAGGGTATGTAAGTGAGTTGCGGGCCAAGGACAGCTCCCTCAGGGTGACCAGGTCCTGAAAGGTCCCTGGTGCAATCCCTTCATCTGTCAACAGGTTCCCATCCAACAGGAGGCGCTGCAGGCGCGTGACATTCCTAAACGCTTCCTCTGCGATAACTGCGATCCGGTTCTCGTCCAATCGCAACTCTTTTAGATCATCTGGAAGACCAATAGGCACACTGCTCAGGTGGTTTTTGGTGAGGAAAAGCATCTTCAGGCTCACTGCCTCACGGAAGGCCCCTTCCTCCACCCCTACAGTAGAAATGGAGTTATCATCCAAATGCAGCTCTTCCAGCCAAAGAAGCTGAGCTAGAGCCACTCTGGAGATGGTCTGAATGTTGTTCTCTTGCAGATGGAGAACCCTTACATTTTTGGGCAGGTTAATGGGGAACTCATCCAGCTGGTTGCCATAGAGATACACAGTTTCCACTGAAGCCACATGATGGAGCTCCAACGGAAACCCAGCATTATTGATTTGGTTGTTGTGGAGGTAGAGGGTCTTATAACCCTCACCGATTCCCAGAGGCACTGAGGTCAGGCTCCGCTCGTTGCAGTAAACAAAGGTGCGATCACAGCGGCACTCCTCGGGACAGTTTGAGGCCCGGGAGAACTGGAGGTGAAGGCCTAACAGTATAGGTATCCATGGCCTTATAAAGGAGACCCAGTCCTTATTCCATAAACGCAACTGTATCTCCATTTCAAACAGATAAGAAAAAATACAGACAACACCAAATCAGAGGAAAAATAGTAAGAAATTACGATTTGAAAAATCCAACAAAGCAGTCATTAGATTTCGGCTGTTGGCTTAATAACACCATCATGTCCAGCCTGGTGCTGAAGAAGGTCTTGAGTAATCCCTTGGTAATTCATTGTCCTAAAATTCCCAACACAAGAGCAATGGTCTCATTAAGCAATATGATTCCTTCACCAGCCACTGTCCATAATTGAGCTGGGAGAAGTTTATCACATTTTCACTCTCTCCTCTCTTCTACCATTGGGTAGAGCTCTCTTCACAGCACTCGGCACTGACAGAGCCATGTACGACACGCTGGAGGGTTATCATTGGATGTCCTCTTCCTGGCTTTCCCTTTCCCTTTCACGTCACACACTGCTGGTTCCTCTGACTTGACATTTGGATCCAGAAACCTGTTGCGAAATAGGAATAATGGGAAAATCAGTCTCTTCAAAATGCATGCTTTCCTTTAAAGACAAAAGGATTTATTTTCCCTCTCTATCCCACAAATGCAAAGTGAGCCATTGTAAATTGGGAGAGCAGAGAAGTGTGCATACCAATGACTTTAAGATGTGTTACACATTCCTCAGACACACAGCCAGAGGAAAGGGATGTTTGAAATGATACTGAGAGCACAGGTGTGGTAAAATGGTTAAAAAAAACGAGTTTGGCAAGTCTATGTGCAGATTACTAACGTGAGCTCAAAATGAAAACATACACTAAGCGGATTCAAACTTTTTTAATTCCTCCTCCAGTTGGTAACCATGAACGTGAACAAACTGACAAAAAGAGCATTTAAAAAACGGATAATATTCAAAGGATTAAAACATGGCAGCCAAAAGCATTTTGTGAGCAACAAGGTTTTAGGTGAGCTAGTAAGGGAGAGGGCTGGCTCCCAGATAAGCACCCTGAATCTGTTAGTTACTCAGTCCAGCCCAGAAGGATAATGCCCTGCACCATGGCACTCTAGGGGAAAGATGGGGGTGTCAGATGATGGGGCAGATATTTCCACAATACTTTCTACAAAGCCAAATATGTGCTCTTAATTATTGCTTAATTAGACTTTGTACTCCTCTCTTCCCTTGATTCCTTAAGTTTAGCCGTGCTGGATGAGAGGAGAAGTGCTGGATGGTGATGAACGTAGCCTGTCAGCTGAGATAAGATGAGACAAATTCCTTGCACTGGGGACAAAACTAAGATCGATGTGGGCCTCTCACTGTGAGGAAAGGTGCAACTGTGTGCACAAGGTCGAAAGATTTAAATAAAGTGGAGATATTTCCTAGTCAACAGCATCAGTGTTAGTTGGCTTATGAACAAAAGCCTAATTATTTTGGTGAATCAAAGAAAAAAATATCAATAAAAACTCATACTTATACTGCTGCTGAGTTTACAATCCAATACAGCCCTTGTAAAGGAAGATAATGTATTATTAGTGGTTGTTAGTTAGGAGGTAGTGATGATTAATAAAATGGCACCGGGCAGCAGCAGCCAATTGACAGATTGCATTGATTTGTGGCCAAGACAGTTCAATAGTTATGTAATGTTCCCTGGGGGAGCAAACAAGGAATCAAACTGAGTCCAATTATGGTTTTCATGTGCCCAAGCAAAAAGGCAGGTTTGAAGAAGACTGCCTTTGTTGTTTAGCAGCTCTGTCCCAGTTTGCAGAATAGACTGGTGGGTTTATTTGGTCTTGAGAGAGCGCAGTCCATTTTAAGTATAATCCATAAGGGCCTTCCTTCTACCTGTTTTTGATTTTATGCAATTAAAATCATTTTGGATTAATATTCATGAAAGAGGAGTTTAAAATTATTAAAATGCCGTTAAAGCAAAAAATAATACCGTTTATTAAGTTCATGGTGAAAACGATATTCCAAGAATATTTGAACATATGAATAAAATCAAATTCTAGGATTAAAAAAATGCACAATTACTAGTCCATGCTGTATTAATTTCCCGTTTTCCTACCTTAAGAAAAGCAGAAAGTCTTGTGCTACTGCACATCCAGCCTGACAGCTCGTCTCTCCGCAGACTGCTGAGCTCAGACCGGGCAAAAAGTCCGCATCCTGCCCGCTGCGTCGGCTCCCAGCTCCCGCTGCGGCTTCGGACTGGTTTTACTTGGTTTTCCGGCATTGGAGAACTGGGGAATTGCGCTAGGTCCTGACAGAAGCAGCCAGGAAGGGAGGGAACTTCAGGTCACCAGCAGTGGTCTACTCCGCATCTCCCCCCCTGCCTTCCTCAAACACACCCCGGCAAACTGAGACTCCCGGCTGGCCGCGCTGCTCCGAAGTTCCTCCGCTGCCTTCACAGAGGGAGAAGGGGACATGAAGCGGAGAGGAGAGGAGAGTTAGAGGCTCCCAGCCTACCCCCCGCCGCCCGGACAGCAACGCGGATTATCAAGTCCATAGTCTGGGTAAAGTGTTCCAGAGACTGCCTGGTCCCTCATGGAGCCCCGAGACTATCTCTGTTAACGAGTCGTCTCTCTCTCTCTCTCTCTAAGTCCAGATTTTTGTATTATTATACTCGTAGCAATACACTGACAGATAAATTCCTGAAAATACCTGTGTGATACTTTCATTAAAACACCCTCCACAAAAAAAATGATAGAGAGGAAAGGAGGGAAGGAGATAATAAGGACGCTGTGAGGAGGAGAAGACAAAGGGTTGTATGGAGAGAGAGAGAGAAGAGAGAGAGAGAGA